TTACAGCACTGTAAAGAAGTTTTATAACAATACAAATGGGCACTTAACCCATATTGGCTTTGCAGAGAACTTCAAAAACTACAGTGAGACTCTAATCACATGTAGTTATCTATAATAAAATTAATATTTCTGGCATTGGATGTTTAAAAAGCATTAAAATTCATCAGTGCTTAACGCAAAAGAAAATATTGATTACAATTTGGAAACCTGCTATGAGTTATGGAGTWCAGCTATATATTTTCATCTTTTGGTCTTTAAAAATTAATTTGTTCCTTTTATGCCTGTTGTATAAAAAAAGCTGTGTTGTTCAAGGTATGTGGATAAGTAAGATGAGCCCATAGTTGCTTTCTTTTCAGCTGTAGCTGYATTAATTGAAAGAGCTCATGGAGTTGTCTCTTCTTGTCATGAACTCATTATGTACCTGAAAATTGTCTTGAKCTACTGTAAAACATTTTTGGAAATAATGGGAAGAATTTGTGGAAGGAGACACACTTCTCATGGCAGCAGTTGTTCCAGAACATGACCTTCTTGGTGTTGACCATGATGATAATTCTGGGACTGAAAATGTGAATTTGAAKTCCCTCTTTCTTGTTTGAACTAGTAAAGTGCATTCCCAAAATTACTACCATTCCTAATCAGTCATCTTCCCTTAAAAAAAATGAAAATCATCTGAGTTTTTTGTTATCACATGAACTTTATAGGTTTTCAAATCCTGTATTCTGGTTTTTGACAGGAATAGCTTTGACTGCTGTCCAGCCAGCACTCTCAGGCGTGGTGTTCTAAAAGCACTCATTGGATTTCAGAGTAACTGAGAGTCACCTGCTCTTGTGCTCTGCTCAACACAAAGATGACTTGCTTTTCCAGGTAATCTTTCCAGTTGGACGTGGCACATGCTTTGCCCTCAGAGTACGTAGAGATAAAAGAAGCAACAGAGATAAAGCACTAAAGGCAGGTGCTACTATAGTTTACCAGCCTCTGGAGCATTTTGCTTGGCCCTTTATCTAAGTGTGTTGTAATTTGCTGGTTTTCTGGGGTAGGTACAGCCAGCAGGCCCTCAACTTCTGCATCAGGACACAGAGAAGGGCACTCAGGAGGTTGCATGTGACAGGGGCTGGCTGTGACTCTGTGACCTCTGTGTGAGGCCACCAGCCCTTGGTCAGTGCTCCCAAGCTTCGGTCAGCAGCTGCGCACGCAGGGAGGGAGGGAGGGCAGGAGTGGTGAAAACATGCTCGGGCAGTTCTTCAACAGCTGCTTGGCTTCCTTTTGGCTTCTGGGTACAATTCAAGGTTTTGGCCTCGGTTACTTTTAAGCCTAATGTGACTTGAGCTCCGGCTGAGAGGCTGCCTGCTTTTTTTTTTTTTGATCCAACATAGCAATTAATGTCAACTGGGATACTTGACCTAGATCATCCCAGTTTTTAATGTCAAGTAGCCATTGGCAGGAAGTTCTTCGAGAAGTACTTCTGCCTGTGGAATGCGCTCCCAACCTGGGCTGGTGGAGTAGGCTTGCTGAGCGGGCTCTGTGCCAGGCTTATCTTGTTTCTTTGCCTATGGAGATGAGGAATGGCTCACTGCTTCTCCTGTTCTCCTTTGTCCCTGAAGAAAGACAGGTTAATGTGAGTTTATAATYACTATGCCAAGATTTTTCCACTTGAACCATGTGGGAAGATAAGTGAAATATATGGAAAAGAAAAAACAGCATACATGCCTTGGTRTGTAAGGGCTTTTTTCTGAGAGGATTTACTTGAATGTTTTGTGTGAAATCAAAGCAAAACATGTTTCCTCGTACAGACCAGTTTGAAAGCATGGCAAGTTAAATTTAGATACGTGCTRTTTTCTTTCAGCTTTGTGGAAGACTATACAGCCAGGCATGGAAAGCTTCCTTCCTGCTGGKAGTGGAGATTCCTCAAACCATTAAAACAATCACCAAGTGCTTTAAGCTTAAAGCACCTTCCCCAGGCTTCACAGCCGGGCTGTAATAGGGCCCACCTTGCCCCAGGGGGAGATGTTTAGTGCTTTTTTTTTTGAGGAGGAGGGGTTTTGTCTGGAGTTCTACATGGCAACTGCATGGCAAAGGTGGAGCGATGAACTGTTGGAATATAAATACAGTCATTACTTTGGCCTGGAAAAGCTCTGTTCTACAACTGCTATGAGATGTGTGAAGGTTTGTTGGCAAATGCCCAACAGGCAGCCAAGATGACTGGCTGTAGAAGGACATGAGGAAGAAACAGGGGAGATAAATTTCATCTTAAGCAACTAAAACTTGTTAGTTCAGTGTAGGACCGCTGAATATCAATATCATGTGCTCAGGTGAGGGACTGCCTGGCTCTGCAGGATGACGGAGTTCAGCTTGCCATGTCTGCTTTGGACAGGATAGAAAAGAATCTACCTCCCCCTTTCCTGAACAGATTTTAACCCTTTTCCTATCAGTCTGGATTCTGGAGAGTTTGGGGAATATGGTTTAGGAGAAGAAAGAAGAGGAATTAGAGGTTAGAAGTATGGATAAAGAAGTTATTTGTTTCTGGGAAAGATGAGGAAATCAGAATTAGAATTAGGGAACTTGAGAATATTCATTGCTTTAGTTCTTGACTATCCAATAAAAATGAGGACTCTACAAGCAAAAAAAAAAAGAGAAAATGGAGGTGAAAAACCTAAACAGTGGCTTGTTTTGAAGTCAACTCAAGATTCACAGGTTTCAGCAGATATTGGATAATATTTTTAAGTGTAGAACAAAAGGAGAAAGGCTTAAGAAATGGAGAATTTAAGGMAATAAAGTGGAAGAAAGTATATAGGTTACCTGAAGAGAGAGATCTTTTGGTAAGTCTTTTTTGAAGACTGATAACAGAGAAGAAGTTTCTGTGCTAATGAGAAGAGTTACTACTCAGAGTCAGGCAGTTCTTCTGGCATCTGAGAGGAAAAGTACTGAAGGAATAAGTTCAAGCTGACAAATAATGTTGAAATAAACACAGTAATTGGTGCCATGTAACTAAAAGCAGTTGCATGAAGGACTGGTGTTACCCGGGAGCAGGCGCCCACTGTATTGAGTGGGAAATGCTGGGAACTTACACAATCAGCGCTTTGTTACTCATTTTTAAATAGGGAGGATTAGGATGGTGCTAGGACAGTGTGGGATGTGTTTCACTTGTGTTATAAATGTCTAACTCTTGAGTGGAAGTGGAGGTGAGACCCTAAATGTACCCAGCAAAGAGAAATGGGAATCCTGGAGGACTCCTGTCAGGCAGGGAGCAGAAGCAGGCACTTGTAGGGTGTGATTCATTTGACCTCCTTTTGACACGTTCTGTAGGATGAGTTCAGTCGAAGAGCCTCGTTCTTCCCATGGGCTGTAAAAGGAGACCAACATGACCTGTTCAGATACAGACACTTACACTGTAAACATCTTCATTTGGTCAAGGGAATCCTGGCTTGGCTTCCACATCTAAGCGTGGGAAGACGAGGGTGCTCTGTTATTATGGCTTGTGGTTAAGTGTCAGATGCCCTCCATCCTTCTTGAGTAAAGACTCAACACCTTTCCAGAATKGAACTTGGCATTCCAGGGCCTCCAGAGGTTTGCCCACGTGGGGCCAACGATTCATGCTGAGGTATTGTGAGGGCATCGCCCTTGTGGCAGCTGTGCGTGGGCAGCAGGAGCCAGCCTGTCGTGTCTCCCTGCTCCTCTGGTGTCCGTRCCCGTGGACACCGGGGTAGATCACAGCTACAAGGCACAGCCCTGGAGAGATGTGGGTGCACACAGTCAGGTCCCCAGCTCTGGAGCAGGGGGAGCCTTCCAAGTAGTGGCTTGTTGCATGGCCTCCCGTAGCAGTGAGTGATTTACAGGTGAGCTGGCGTGGATGTGACAGACGGTCACACAGAGAGCTCCGTGGGGACACTATTTCTGAGAGCAGGGGGTCCGTGCTGGTGACCGCCCTGGTGCTTACCTGTAAATCACTCRCTGTGTGCCTGGTGGGCCATGAGCAGCACATGATTTATTGAGCCTGGTTCCTGGGTGAAATTGGAGTGTTGCCTTGTGTTGTTAAATAGGGCCACATAAAGCGCAGGAACACAAGTTTTGTTGTTAGCAAGTCAGTAATTTTGGACTATAAGTAATATGCAGATGTTACCATTGTGTTGTTACTATTATATCCATATAAATGTATTTTTATTGCTTCGTGGTGTTGAGATTTTGTTTATACTGCAAAACTCGTAAATAAATAAATACATGTATCTGTATTTAATTTGAAAACTTTTTTTTCCTCTTGAATTTTCTGGGTATGCAGTATAATTGATGTCTCTGGGACAAATTTTTCTTTTTTTTTTTTTAGAGGAAACAAAAGCTTTACTATTCAATCATTGTGAAATGCATTTAAGTTAGATTTTTCTGGAAGTTTTTGATAGAGAAGTTAATAAAAAGCCTGTTTTAATTTGATTTTAAGTTGCATTAAAATTCTAGGCACTGGATTAATCCTTTTTTAAGAAAAGGAGGAGTGTTACATTTAGTGTTATAACTGTAAGGAATTATTTTATTCAGGTATATTTTAAAAAGTAGACTTGTTGAGAATGTCTTCATTTTTATTGCAGAAAAATGTAAACATATTCTCATTATTAYACCTATTTTCTTAAAGTGCTCATTGTCTCTGTGCAGGCTCATTTTATAATGTATGCATCTGGTAATGAAAATAATAATTAAATTCTTTCACAATGAAACAGTGATTGGGGGGAGGGCRGGGGCGGAGAAAGCTCAAGCAATACTAGCATCTGAATTCATACCCAGTAAAGCTAATTGACTAGTAAGGCTGATTCTTCACCTTTAATGTATTTTAAAGCCTAAAGTTATATTTTTAAAGAGGTGGTTCTCACTTTTTTYCCTCTAATTGGCACTTCATATTTAGAAAAAACACTTTTCCCCCCTCCTTTTATTCTTCGAGTATTTTTTTGGTCTATTTCCTGCTCTTCTGCCCTCCACAAGTCTTCTCCCTATCCTCATGTGTGTTTTCTGACCTTCAGCCATCGTGGAATTGCTCTTGTACTGGGGCTGTGAGCGACTGACTTTAAAGGGTTTGAAGAAGATGCTGCTTGGGAGGTTGGWGAGGTCTGAGAGAAGGTGCCTCTGTTGATCCATAAAGTGCACAGGGTGATGAGCCAGGCGGTATAACCAAACCCTAACAAAGATTCTCAGTTCTGGGAAGGACAAGGATGTAATCTGGAGCTGATGTGGATTAAGATACAGCTATTTGGGTGAGTGTGTGCGTGCTGATTGAAATGTAGGAAATAGTGTAATATGGCTGACCAAAAGTATCTGGATTAGATCTGATTTACTTTTTTAGTTCTTAATCTCTTTGCTTTTTATTTTTTTATTGCTTATTTTATTTGTTTGGGATGAAGTGCTCTCTTAATGTTTTTTGTCTGGGGTTTTTTTTTTTTTTTTTTTTTTTTTTTTTTTTTTTTTTTTTTTTTTTTTTTTTTTTTTTTTTTTT